TGTGTGTGTGTGTGTGTGTGTGTGTGTGTGTGTGTGTGTGTGTGTGTTTATGTGTGTGTGTTTATGTGTGTACGCCCCCCCCGCGCTGCCTGTGTGCTGGTTAGAGCATTAATGATGTGTCGAGGGAGCACTGCCTCTACATAATTTATCAACCAGGATTTATTAGCCGCAGAATTAACTTGTAGGGGCTGGGGAGCACAGGATGCATTTGTTCATGTTTTTTTGTTTTTTCTGGATTCATGTGTGTGGATGCGTTGTCACTCCCCTGTGATCCATTTCTCTCCATCAGCCTCCTGCCAGGGGGACGTCCCCAGTCAGATAATTGGCCAAGTTATTTCAATTTTAGTCGGGTTTAAATTACAATTCAGGGCACTGTGTGTGTGTGTGTGTGTGTGTGTGTGTGTTTGTGTGTGTGTGTGTGTGTGTGTGCGTGTGCGTGCAGAGTCGGGCTTCGTGCAGACTATGTTCCACAGTCGCAGCAGTAAATCCTGTTCATGCTGCCTATAGCACGCACACTAACCTTTTATTCCGACATCACTAGAAAAAAATAAAACAAATATTTGAATACAAAAATACACGACATGAAAAATACAGGGCGACGACCTCAAAATCAAATATGAACTCCCACAGAAGCAAAGCATCATTGCTGCATTCCACACCTGGAACAACCGCTGCCCTTGAATACGTTCGTTGTGTACTGGACAAATATGTTTTTAAAGTACAAGTTGTATTTGTGCATTTTTTTTATGTAACCTTAATACACTTTTTCCCTCGTTAAGTACATTACCTATTTCATAAGCAAGCCCAATCCTCTTCACAGGCAACAGCTGCCAAAAGTTCTACTGAAAGCGTTTTGTGTGTGAGGCTCCATTTCCATTTTCTTCATTCACTTTTTACGTTCTTTCTTTCAACTATTTGCTTGTCGATTGGACAAAATTCATCAGAATTGTGATTCATTATACATGTTTTATCTAACTAAATGAACCCGACTCCCCCCTACTTGTGTTTATCTTGAGCTTAATTCCCTTTCTGTTTTGTTCATGCATCAGATCACAGAGATGGGGAAGGACTCCCTCCCTGCCTGGCTGCACTGGGATGCCAACAGCAGGATCCTGCAGGGTCTACCTTTGGAGGAGGACAAAGGCGTCCATTACATCTCGGTATCCATCTCCAACCACACCAAATCCTCCTCGTCTTCAGAGGTGTTTTCCATCGAGGTGCACCCTGAAGATCATTTGGACGCAGACGCAGCCCAGCTGGCATCCAACCAGGCCTCCACAGAGGAGGACGTCCAGCCGTTCATGTGTAGCAACGAGGAGCCAATCACACTGCTGACTGTGATCCTGGACGCCGATTTGACCAAGATGAGCTCGGAACAGAGAGTGGAGCTCCTGGACGACATGAGGAGCTTCTCCGGGGTGGGGCTCCCACACATGAAGATACTCCCTGTGGTCAACAACAGGCTGTTCGACATGTCTGCATTCATGGCCGGGCCGGGGAATGCCAAAAAGGTGAGTGAATGTGCAAGCGCGCGAGTAACTGAAAAATCAGAATGGATGCTAATGACTAGGGCTGTCTTTGACAAAAGAGCAGTCTTAAGATTTTGTCGATTTTTTTAATTAGTTGATTTAGTAGTTTCTCCCCAAAGAATCATGCAAAAGCACCACCTTAAATCTTGTGTGCTCTTATGTTTCTTGGAAATAAGTCATTCAGCGTGAAAAAGCATTAAAAAAATGACAAATTAACAAAAGAAATTCTTAGTCAACTATGACCAAAACAACCAATTAGTCGACTAATAAGCTGCAGCCCGAATCATGATTATGTGGTTTTATGGGTAAAGTAAATATTTGCCAGTCAGTGAATAATCAAGCATTTCATATTAGTAGATGGATAATTTAATTAACAACTGTCAATGTCTCCCCAGGTGGTGGAGAACGGTGCTCTGTTGTCCTGGAAGCTCGGCTGCTCACTGGACCAGAGCACAGTCCCAAATATCAACAGCGTCCAGGGTCCTGCAAAGGAAGGGACAATGTCCGCCAAGCTGGGCTACCCTGTGGTGGGATGGCACATTGCCAACAAGAAACCTCATGTTCCTAAGCGGGTGAGGCGCCAATTAAACAACACTCCGACACCTGTGCTGGCGGTACTTCCTCCAACAACTGTAGTGGAGCCTCCAGTGAGGATCATCCCAACACTCTCCTCTCCTTCTATTGCCGCACCAACAGAAAGCTCTGCTCCCCCTGTAAGAGGCCCCGTTCCCCTACCTGGCAAACCTACGATCAGAGTCCGTGAATCCATTGCCCACACCCCAACTCAGGGACCGCCTCAGCCAACAAGGATAGTGGAGACCACCAGCAGCATTCCTATCCAGCCAACCATGACCAGGCCTACGTATGTGGAGGCCACCGCTACACCACCTGCACCCACTAGAAGACCTACTAAGAAACCTAAGAGACCCAAAACCACACCGGTGCCCAGAGAGCCAAAGACCTCCACGGCCAAGCCTGCCAAGCGCACCACACCATCACCTGCCGTCATCCCGGACCCATACAACGAGAAGCCTGTCTTGCGAAACCCCATCGACCAGGTCAATGCATTGGTTGGCACCTACTTCGAGGTCAAGATCCCATCCGATACATTCTTTGATAAAGAGGATGGGACAACTGACAAGCTGCGTCTAACTTTGAGACAGAACCACAATGAAGTGGTCGGAGAGGGCTCCTGGATCCAGTTCAACACCACCAGCCAACTTCTCTATGGCCTGCCTGATGTCCAACATGTGGGGAAACATGAATACTTCATGCAGGCGACTGACAAAGGTAGCTTGAATGCAATTGACGCTTTCGAGGTCCGTGTGAGCCGCTGGCCCATCAATGACAAGACCCCCGTGATCTTCATGGCCCGATTCGAAGGTGAGCCACATTCGATAACAAATGACATCCACAAGAAGATCCTTCTGGTCAAGAAGCTGGCATATGCGCTTGGAGACCGCAACAGCAGTACAGTCAGTCTACGAAATATCAGCAAAGGGTCCATTGTGGTGGAGTGGACAAACACTAGCCTACCCCAGCACCCATGTCCAAAGGAACAGCTCACAGTCATGAGCAGGACCCTCGCCAGTGCTGACGGAAAGCCCTCACAGACCTTCAGGCACTCTCTGGAGCCAGAATTCAGACCACTGGATGTCATGGCCAAGGGTAGGGCAAGCTGCAGAACATATTCCTTCATCCCACCAGGAGATATTGATATACCAGAACCCCCAGCAGTCACGCCAGCTCTGGGAACAGGCCGGCAGAGCACAGATGACGTCTATCTCCACACAGTCATTCCCGCCGTGGTGGTGGCAGCAATCTTGTTAATAGCAGGCATCATTGCGATGATCTGCTACAGGAAGAAGCGAAAGGGCAAGCTGACCATCGAGGACCAGGCCACCTTCATCAAAAAAGGTGTGCCGATTATCTTTGCGGATGAACTAGATGACTCTAAGCCACCTCCATCTTCCAGTATGCCCTTGATTCTACAGGAAGAGAAGCCCCCACTTCCACCCCCCGAGTACCCCAACATGGCCACGCCAGAGACCACTCCCCTCAACCAGGAGCTGCTGGGGGAGTACACAGCCCTGCGGGATGAGGACCCCAACGCTCCCCCCTACCAGCCACCACCTCCCTTCACCACTCCCATGGAGGGCAAGGGCTCCCGTCCCAAGAACATGACTCCCTACAGATCTCCACCCCCCTACGTGCCACCCTAAGACTTGTTTAACTCTCCCCTCGTATGGTGGAGGGAGAGGATGCCTGAGGAACTGTGACGGTTTCCATTCTGGTGTTTGTCTATCTGGACATTTACAGGGAGAGATGACAAGAGGTGCTAAAGTACAAAACAGCTACAGGGGACTTTTGTTTGGGAAGGGGGCCGTAATGAGTCGGGTGGGGTTTTTACAGTCGACTGATGGGATGGAACAGCTGGGAGGGACTACTGTTTTGGTGGTAGCCCAGCTACTACAGTGGCCTAAGACAAACAAATTCTCGTCACATTAGCTTTTGGATCCACCAGTTGGTCAGAAGCGACGACTGGGAGACGTGATGATCTCCTGTCCTGGCATTTCTTCTTTTATTCACTCTTTTGATTTAAAATACAGGCTTTTATTCTGTTTGTCATCACTATCCCAAGGTTATTATTCTGAATCCTTTGCTCTTCTTTTGTGTTGCTTTTAAATGATACGAGGAGACAGTGAACTGCCACCAGACCACTGCAAGCTACAACTCGTGTTTTTTAATAAGGAGAGTGAGATTCTCTGAAAATGAAAAAAAAGCTATCACAAGGATCTGGAATCAGCCCTGCAGACGACACAGAAGAATGGGAGGCCGAGGTGTGCGTGTGAATGAGTGGGTGTGTTTATTCAGATTCAATACGGTTTGCCTTTTAACACTAGCTGTCTGTTTCTATCCTTATTCACGATGTCTAGTAAAGATGAGAATAACAAGGTAGCCTAAAAAAAGATTTAGAGATGAATAATAAATAATTTGTTTGTTTCATTGGTTTTAAGATCCACTGTATATCTGGAAGATGTTCTGATAGATTGTGTTATATTTTTTTGGTGGTGGAAGAGAGCGGGAGGAAAGGGACTGCCTCGCTAAAATCACCTGAAGGAGCTCTTTATTCCTGTTACAGTTCATTAGATGAACATCTTACCTTCCTCTCAGCTGCCCTCAATAAGGCGTAATAAACTGTGTGGGTCGCGGTAGATGATTATCTAACTAACTAAGTTTGGTGTAGATTTGGAGGCAAAATGTGTAGTTTTATGCAGATGATAGTGACCTCTATTTGGCGAAAACGTGACCCGAGGTCAACAGAACCACGACAGTAGAAGTGAAAATGCCATGTCGGCCCTTTTCTACATACAAACCTCCAACATGTGCCCAAACAGGAAAAGGACCCCTCCAGGTTATTTTGGACCAGGGATAATTATTTTTTTATGTAATGAGGCAGTTCTTCTGCCTGGTCAGAGGAGGAACTCTGAGTGCCATGGACACTCTCCCCAGAGGGACTGTACAGATACTCACAGAGGAGATGAGGCAAATTCAGGACGGAAGCGAGAGAAACGTTCACTTTCCAGCAATTAGCTCACTGAACAACATGGTCACCGAAAATCTCCTTCTAATTTTTTTACCAAGTTTTTGATACAGCCTCAAATTGTTTCTGATTATTAAAAGAAAACATGATTAATGATTAGTCTTCTGTGATTTGTAAAATCTTAGCCTAGAAGTTCAAATATGATTCAATTACGTACACTTTCTTTTCTTTTCTTTTTTTGTCATGGGTCACATTTTCAAGTGTTTTTATTTTGTCGTGTGTGTTTGAAAATCGAAATGTATCTCCCACTATACAAAGACGGACATATTTTATGTAATCACAAATTTAAATTTTACGTCCTTTTATGTTTGCTAATGAGTTTCAACTGAAAGTGACCCTTTGCAATAATAATGTACGGCGCAGTCCGCTCAGTGATGCAGGCTGGAGTGACTCGTAGTGTCATAATATTGTTGGTTTTTTGCAGGATGCCAAGGCTTTTTTGCTTCTCAAGTGTGCATTGTCATAATAAAACCAACTGGTACGATAAAAAAGACAAACATCCACCTTCTTCATTCATGTATCTGGTTTTAACTTCTTGCTGCTTCTTTTCTCACTTTTTTGATCCCGTCATCCTCTTTGATCCAAACCTGACTGATGTTTATGGATGAGCATTTTGATCACTGTCACTTTCCTACTTCTCCCGCTTAGCCTTGAATTGATAAATCAATATGTCTGAAGTCCTCAAGAGGTTTGGCCTCGCCGCCTGGCAACCGTCAACGGTCTCGGGGCTAACTGAAACGGTCGCGCTGCCGTACCTTTTGTACTAAATGATTCTGCTGTTGAATGACTGGTTGGACTATGCACTTTGAAAGCTCTGCCATTAAAGAAGGCTATGCTGTGAAAACACTCTCTCAGCTCCATCTGTCTCTCCACACATCACAGACGGATCATTTGCATGGATTGCTCCGAGTATTGATTCCATGTAAACAATTTTCCGGCATCTGTTGCACGTCCGTGATAATTCTTGGCGGGGTTTAATGTGCGTGTGTGTGTGTGGTGGGGGGGGGGTGCGTTCCCAAGACACCGCTAGTTGCTAAAATGGATAAACGGATGGTGGTGATGACGGAGATTAATGGAGGACTGATCTGGGTTTGATTGAGACGAGATGTGAGGGAGCTGGATGTGAGCCATGACGAGGTCATCATTCACTGTTTGGCTCTTTCCAGGTGAAGGGCTGAATCTAAACCTCTCGGCCTTTTACAAAATGATCATTTTATGAGTAAGCGTTGGAAAGTAAACATACTGTACATATTTTATATGCATTATATTTTGCCCTTACCCCGTAGACCAGCACTCTGCCATTTATTAGAGTAACTTTAGGATTGCACGAGCAAAGTCTCATCTCAAATGTGCTGGACAAATCTGATTGGAGCATTCTGGAAGATTATAGATGTGCTGAGGTTGCATTTTTCCGGGGCCTTAATCAGTCGCCTTCAAAGCACCAGACAAGCTCAATCCATCACAGGGAAGTTTGCTGGAAATGATTTGTGGAGCCTCTTTGTCTGGATCCTGCAGGAGCGTCCCGTCGCAAAATGGAAGAAACGGTCAAACCCGATCACGAGTCCTTCTGTGTTGTTTGTTCACAACAAACGATGGCAGCTGATTGTCACAGTCAACAACAGGCCTGATTACACTGTGAGGCACTACTTCATGAAGCCTCTAAGAATAGCTGAAGTATACTTGATAAATAGGAGTACTTCTCAGAATAGAAGGGAAGCATCAATTATCAGACAGCATGACCGCACACTTAACATTGAATGAGTCCGTGTTCCCAGCAGATACCCACCGCAGTAAAACTTGTAATACTAAAAAGAATCATCTTAATGTGAGTAATGAACTGGTGAAGGTTCATGGTGATATCTATAAATTCATTTTTTTACCCGACTCTCCCCTTAAAGCGTCGTGTGATGCTCCTTTTGGCCTCTTTGGATTATGCTGAGTGGTCATTTTACACAATGAGGGGGCGTGTCGGCCGTTAAAACACTTCCTGAAAGACCCTCAGAGATCCCTCCTCGATCCTCGCTCCTCAGAGCAGAAATAAGAGCTTTGGGACGGCCGTCAATATGCTGTGCAGAACAACTTCCGGTTCGAGCGAGGATCGAGGAAATGACAATTAAGAGACGTGGGGTACTTCTCAAGTCTCTTAATTGTCGTTTCCTCCATGCATCCCTGGGAGGGACTAAAACGCAAGGAAAGGCCCCAAGTGAGGGAAACGGGGATGCAATTAAGAGACTTGAGAAGTACCCTTAGTCAAGTCCCAAGACCCAAGTCTCTTATTTGTCATTTCCTCAATTCTGGTTGAACCGGTTTGAGAGGAGAACTTTGAGGAGAAACTTCAGGCCAAAGAGCTGATATCAGATCAGCCTGACCTCACAATCAGACATATGATATATATATATATATATTATATGATATATATTATTATATTATACAGAATATTATTTTATGATATATATTATTATATTATACTGAATATTATTATATGATATATATATATATATATATTATTATATTATACTAAGACTAAAATAAGATGTCCTGACGTGTTTATCAAAGTGTTATTTACTGCTTTTTTCATGTTGGAATAAAGGTTAAATATTTAACTGTAAAGTAGTAATACGTGTTTGATACTTTAATGTTTTTGCATTAAATCATTCTGGGATGTTTGCTGAAATTGATTGGATGTGGCACAGCCCTACAGAGAACATGTTCCACCAGCTCCACTGCTATTGCTGGTTGTTAGATGTGAGCTACGAGGTCTAACAAAGAATGCACCGGAAACAGAACAATGTTATCAATTTAATTCCAATCTTGGGGGAAGTGTCGTAGACGCCTCAATAATGCATTTACAGCAGTCTCATGGAAAAGGTCTCGTCTCAAATCATCCTTCAGGAAAACAATGAGACTCATCTTCTGCAGCTGTGAGAAGTGAATACTTTTTTTGCACCAGTTTCAAATATTGGTACAATTACAACTACAATTTTCACAAACAAGTTTCAATTCACGAGCGACTTCACTCTGAATCGGAGAGACGGTTAAATTGTCAGCCCTCAGTTTATATTGTTGGTTTGACAGAAACCTTTAATAACGCTGGGCGCGTCTCCCACAGTGAGAACCGGGTCGTATGAGCCAGCCCTGATGGAGCTCTCTCAGGAGCTGTGACAGACTTTATGAGATGTAATTCCAGCTGACTGAATCTCTTTTTTTTCAGTAATTGAACAATCTGGAGAGAAGGTGTTGCTCTTGACAGCCGTGTTTGAGGAAACGGCACAAAGACTTCCTGTTCTGGTTCTTTTTTTGTGTCCTGCAGGGAAAGGTTGATTAAAGCCCTCGGTGTCCACATGAGCTCCAGTTGGGTGTGTATTAAAAAGAAGGAGACCACATGGAGTCTGATGGTTGTGCTGTGCACTCGAGGATCGGGCCTTTAAATTGAAAATAAACCAGCGATCCATCCAGCAGAAAGTCATTCAGAAAACAATTGAGCCGGCCTCCTGCAGCCGGCTATTATCCAGACAATCATGAGGACTCTCAGCACCGTCCACAGTGACACACTCCTTCATTACGATGGACTCAGCCGGTGGGGTGGCGGGGTGGGGGGGGGGGTTGTTCCACTCGGCAGCGTGTCTCTGAGCGTGCCCAGTGGCATCCTCTCCACAGAGTTAGACCCCAGAGATGGAACATGTGGCTCCAGAGTGAAGTGCATTCAGTGTTTGATGTAATGAACACGGATCATTCACACCCAGAACTCACAACACTGGAGTTCTTTAGGATTGAGCCAAAAGTCATCAAGCTTTGGGGATTCAACCACACAACAAAACAACAAAACGAGGGAAAGGTTTATCCTTTAAAGGGACACACAACTGCAGTTCATAACTTCAATTAAGTCGATTACTTTTTTGTATTGAAAGATTTCTGAAATTGTATGAATAAATATGCAAATAAGTCATTATCTTATTAAATATGTCCACATTTTCATACATTTCCAGAACATAAATGTGAACATTGGATAAAGCCAGGTTCTAAATTCATGTTTCATTTCAACATATCAGAGTTCAGGGTTTTTACATTTTGGATATCTCTTTGTATCATTCTATAAATCAGAAAATAATGTCAACAGCCGTAAGAAAAAATTATTTTCACCATGTTTTTATGAACAAAATGTAGTATAAATGAGTGTGTGAATGATGTGTGAACAAACCCCTCTGTGTTAACCTTCAGCACACAGAGAGGAATGAACGAGTGAAGTTTGGTGAATGTAAGAGCTGCTGAAGTGGAGATTTATCATCAGAGTCTGAGAACAAACTCATTCAGAGGAAACGTCCTTTAAAGAGACGTTTAGTTCCATTACAGACATTTAGAGACTCTACAGGTGAACACATGAACTCATAGATATCACCATGAGACT